ATCTCATCATATCTGACTGACACCTACTGACCGCGCCAGAATGTGACATCTATTGTAGTAGCCGCGTGTAGCGGCTCAAAGCTGATGCCATTGTATATCTCAATCGCAACCGTGTTGTTCGCGGAGTGGTTCTTAACTTGCGTGCACCAAGTATACCTCACCCAACCTCCGCGTCTGTAAGTTTCCCATTACGAACAAAATTTTCCACCCAAAAATTCCAAAATTCCCCCCCCCCCCAAAATATTCACACCTCAGTGGTTTCCTCCGCGAGGCAGTTGATAACATCAAATCCGAGATACGCGAAAAAGACCCGTCCAGAGCCGCGGACGATTCCTTCAGGAGTAGTAGGGTTCCAAATATCACCCCGGAAAAATATAAAACCTGATAACTTAATCGATCATCTTGGCGCGCGCTTTTTACAAACCTCACCTCCAACGATGAAAATGAGAATAACAGTCATATTGAGAATCGTACTCCAGTTGTTGAAACTGCAAAACCACAGAATTTGGGAAATCCCACATTTTTCCTCAGACGTACGTGCTAGTTTGTCTAATCCCACGGTAAAGCAGCAACCCCAATAGGATGCAGAGGACGAAGGAGAGGAGGGAGATCGACCAAAGATTCTCAGACGACCCGAGATCGAAGTCATACCTAAAACAATCTCGCTCGCCCTAAAATATGAGAGGCACTGAAAGACTCAAGTTGGATTGGATGGATTTTTTATGGTTTTCGTTAGGGCGTTTTTCCGGGAAAAATCCGGAAAGTTTATCGTGAAATTTCTTCGATTCAGGAGAGAGCGTTCATACCTCAGAGAACCTATGAAAACAGTTTTTGTAAAGAATTTCATTATAGGATTCAGCGAATAGATTAGCCAAAGTTGCATGAAATTGCTGCGATAGAATCATCACGAACGATAGGTCGCTGCCAATAAGATTCGGAAGTTGACCGGAAGGCACCACCTTACAGGATCTTTGGGAGTTTTTCGCCCAATAAAACGTTGACATACGCAGCGAAGGCCCTAGCGATAGCAGCGGCCGATATGGAGTTGTCAATACAGAGAACCTGCTATGATGTACCAAAGGAGTGGTATGCACGCATGCGCACGAAACCAACAATAGCAGCCGGTAATTCGCCAAGGATGGTGTAGACGTAGCTATAGGCCGATCCAGCCACCGGAACAAGGGAGCTCATCTCGCAGTAGCAGAGACCAGATATTCTGAGCGGAGCGATTCATGAATTGTAGTTTGTGAATCGATGCACCCGCATGCTAGAGCTGCGAGGATGAAGCTAATCCAAAGAAAGGAGCCGGCTTCTCTAGCACCCACTCCGATGGATACGAACATACCTGAGGAAAAACTGATGGGGAAATCATATGAGTAATACCTACAATGGATACTAATTTGACGATATTTTTCATCGATTAACCACGGCTAAGACTGACGAGAAACTACGTCTCATACGATGTATCCTTGAAAATGAAATGAAGTTTTACATCAGAAATTGACTCCCCGAAAGTTGTGCACACGGACGAAAAATGCCTACAGGAGCTCTTCTGCCCTCAGAAGTGCAAGTATTCCGACTGAACTTGCCAAGGGTGTATTCTTCCTCGCCCCAGCGACGAGAAATGTCAAGTCCGATATGGGAGGCTACTCAATGAAACGGTTAGATTCGAAACATGTACACAGTGGAGCCATCAATAAGGGATACCTCGGCGTCGCGGACGACCATTTGGTTCACTCCGAAGGATGTATGGTGAATTGTGTATCGTGATGCACTTGTCTGAGGCAATCATGAACCTTCTATTAAACTTGACTCAGATCGTGAGAGTCTTGGGCAGTCCCCGGCCAAGAGCAGTCGAACCGCGCAAGCACCTCCCCATCTCGCAGCAGACCATTACAATGACGCCCGAACACCCTTTCGCTTGTTGTAGGCATCAAACTGAGAGACTGGAAAGCCACAAAGCTTTCCAGCTTGAGCCATCTGACTCGAGTTCTATCCATATCTTGGAACTCCATCAATCTTGCAGCTGGGATAACTGGTTGCCATCCACACACTAGTGCATGTGGAGGCGGCCTCGTCCCATCACTGGCATTGGAGTTAATGGACGCTCCCGCTAAGAGTCTCTCCCAGTGTGCGACAGGTTTCAGCGGATCTGTTGTACCAACGCCATCATCGATGATCGAGCAACCTCACCATTTAAAGCTACTCATTCCAAGACAATCCTGCATGAAGCTACACTCTCCCATATACTCTTGCATAATCCATTCCAGAATTTTCCTTGTAGCAGACGTATGGAAAGAATCAAGGTCAAAACATCACCGTGATATTATCACGCCCCATCACAATTACAGCCGTGCTCGACTCGATTATGCTGTACCGATAACAGGTGACTTGTTGGGTAGCAGAACCTTTTAAAAGTAGCTCCTTCAATGGTTGTTATCCGCGACCACAACATCGTTCATAATATGAGCTATCCTCATTCATGAACTACCATGAATATCCTCGTTCAAAACTTGTCTATATATGAACTTCATATATAGACCAGTGGTCTAAGACGACTTCAATAACCGATTCCGAACGTCCAGAACAGTCTTCATCCTCCATAACAGCAGAGCCTGCTGGTGACCATCGGCAGATCTTGTGGAAACGATATATTCGCGGGAATTCAGCTAATGAAGAACAGAAATGGACTGTTAACTTGTGTGAATTGTACTGACAGCTCCAGCGGACGAGAAAGATGACATATCCGGGATATGATACCCCGAATCCAAACTACAAATGAGACACCTAGCGGCTCGCTAGGTTCAGATCAATAATCGTTGGAATCGATGGTTGATATTCCTCCCAATGGGAAGCGTATATTCACTTGGTACGCAGTAGTGAGAAAATGTGCAAAATTTCTCTGAATTTTTCATCCCACGTACCTGCGCCGATCGTTGCGCCCACTCCGAATCCTACTAGGTCTCGAAGACGCAGGACGCGATGGAGGTGCGTGGAATCTGTCAGGAAACAGCAATCAACAATTATTGCAATCCATGACGTGCCGAATTTCCAAAACAACGAAGAAGGTTCAAACCATATTGACAGAACATTAGTAATTTTCGATTCACAAGGCTACTACTAATAATTTCCGAAGTGGCCCAACAAGCTGAAACCCTCGGGATCTGAGCGCTACCTTCGGCTACGTCAGGGTCTCTGACGAGCGCATCCGGCTCGGCAGGCAGGGGCCTCGTGCGAAAGATTCTGTCAAGAACTACCTTCGACCAGGATACTCCCACCATTAAGAAAGATATGCAATAGATTGGTCCAATCTTCCACGCGCCACAGATTTAAGTATTGAGCTCAACACCAACGCCTTGGACGAAGCTTGGACGACGCCTTGATATATAGAGGATCGTAGCGTCACCTTTGCGCACGCGTGCAATATCATATGGAACACGGAAAAGGTACTGTACTTCTACGAAAAATATACAGTCCTCGCGTTGAGGATATCCAAGAGGAGCAAGATGGTCACATCGATCCAGCTTCAGACTCTTTAGCTGAAATGAACTCTGCAGACCCTTCAAAATCGTCCGCCGCATCGTCATTCCTCCCTAGACGATTGGTCTGCTTTCTGTCCCTTTCCATACCAACTTTCTCCGAGTTCATCTCATTCGAACTGACGGCCTCATCCCCCCTCAAGTCCTCGGGAGAAGCTGGGGAGCTCTCGTATTCAGTGGCGGTCGGCTCTAAAATACGACATGATGGAATCGAACCGGATACCTCAGCATTAGCATCTCTGAACACTACCCTGCTTAGCTACACCCACACTATGAATTCCCGCATTCGCTCTCGCCAAAACTGCTGCCTTGAACTCGGCCGCCTACAACAAGCATCATCAACGCCCGATCCGATCTGCGCATCTCGAAAACGCGTCGAGATTCCTCACCGCTTGCGTAGCCGCTTCCTTGCTGGTCTTCTCATCCCGAACACGTTTCGCCAGCACCGTGATAAGCTCCGTCACTTCCTCCGTCACTCCTTCGACACTCTCCCGATCTCCATGAATACTCACCTAATAGGCACATGCTGGGATAGAACCCGAGACCTCCACCACCATCGGAGCCGCATTTTCCAAAGACACCCGAAGCAGTCCGCCCCGACATCCCCTTCTGGCCGCCATTTCTCCCACAACTACATCAGGATCGCTCGCAACGCCCGAATTCACCAGTTCTTTCCATGTAACACCAGTCACTGAGGAAGACCCTTCAACAATGTGAATCCAAAGGCCTCCTCCGTTTCCTCACCCTGTAGTAACCCCTCTATGTACAGCCTCCTATTCACATTAATCGAACGAAACGTCTTCATTTGCTCCTTTCCTTCCGCAGTACGAAGAATCGTACACAAAACTCCATTATAAAGATTCCTCCCGAATGCATTGCGAATATGCTAAGACCAACAACAACATCTCAGCGTTGAGGAAATGCAAGATTGCAAGATTCACCTTAGCATCCGAGTTGGTCCTTGGAACCAAACCGACACCATTAATTGCCAAAATTGTATCTCCTTGCTGAAGATGCTGCTGGCCCGGAAAAGGGCTAATATACAAAACCAAGTACCCTCGGGAAGTCGACTGAAAAAAAATGCACCCTCCGGGATTCGAACCCACGACCTCCTCAAAACCCACACACCTGCAGATCCAAGCCACATACAAGCTCACTGGGCCGCCCAGGATCTGACGCCGTTCAGGAAATGCAAGATTGCAAGATTTATCAATATTACTCTCCTCCGGAATTCTAGGTTTTTGATCGTACTTTGTTACCTCCGACCGCGGAATCACACGAAGGGGTACCTATTTCGTGGCGCGTGACAAAAACGGGAATAATTTGCAAGCTTGCCCGGGGGGCGAAATTCCGTGTTCGCTGTTTTCATTCCAACAGAATATTTTTGATAAAATTTCAAAACTTGAAATATTTTTCAGGAAAACAACGACGACATACACACGTAACGCCTCGTACTATGCTGAGATCGCCTAATTTTACCGCGCGCCACAAAATTATTTCCCGGGAAACAACGAAATTTCCGCCCCTGTCCTCACATTGATGATCCGATTCGCGACGGAAGTAGAATTCCCCGTGGAGTTCTGTTGAGCGCTCTAAAATTAAAAAATGTCTTCTCCTAGATTCGAACCCACGACCTGTACCATCTGATCATCCTTCCTTAACGAGTTGAACAAATTCGCCTCCATCTCCTCCATCGTCATGCGCTGCTCCTCCTTAGCATCACTCCCATACGCCTCCGCCGTCTGTGGCTGTCCAGCAGGCTCTGAAATTTATCATCGTAAAACTTTTCCCGCGCGCCACAAAATTATTACCTTCACCCGAAGTAGCAGCGGACTCCGCCTTATGCGTCTCAAGAAACTTCTTCAACGTATCCAGCAAATCCGCCACCGTCTGCTCGCTCCCACCAACACCTTCAATGCAAATAGCGCGCGCCCAGTTGATCGATTATACATGTATCTCCTCCACGCCTATACGAGGTCCGATTCATTGACTCCTGTAGAGCTGTCAGTTGAATGACCAGCGCGCGCTGAAGGACGCAGGTTCGATCCCCGGCAAGGCCACTTTGATCACCATCAACGCGGCGTTATCTTTTCTCTGTTCCGTTCTCCTATTATCGTTCGCCTCCAGCCTCGCGATCAAAGTCTGCACTTCGGCAATCATCCGACTTGATTCGGTCGGCGTGTGCGTTAACGAGCTCCTCCTCGGTAGCACCCCCGTGCCAGAGGGAAAACCAGCATCACTACGAACCTGTCTCGACCGAGACCTGGGAGAAAAACGACATCCGCTGGAATCGAACCGGGGGTCTTATTACAGTTGTGATTGGGCGAGAGCAGCAACGTCACTCGGGGAGAATCTAGGACGGCCCAAGGGTGCTCTCGTCGACTCCGAAGAATTACCACTCGAATCTGGTGGCGCCGTATACGGGCCTGCCAACAACCGACAGGTCCCCGGGTCGATTCCCGCCCGCCCGAATATACCACTCGCATCGCCGCCAGTTTCACCAGCTTTTCTGAAAGCCGCCAGAAGCCTCTCCCCCAGTTTGCTCGCGGCATCATCATTACTATACAATCTGAAAAAAGGCGGAGCGAAGCAAATCTTTCTTCAGAAATTTTCATTTTCGCCATGCAATGCCGAAAATTTCCCGATGAAAACAGCAGGATTCGCCAAAATTTCACGCGCCACAAAATTCCCCCTCCCCCGCGGCTACTTCGACCGCGAATTCTGCAGCTTCAACAGCTCCTGGGATACGTTTTCTGGAGAATCTACCAAAAATCTTGCGCGTGCGTGCAAGATGTTGAAAAACTCACTGTCTCCCGAGGTGGTGATTTGACGGAACGAACGCAGCAATGACGCAACATCTGACCGAAAAAATCTCCAGAGTTTCCGCTAGAAACCGGACCGAAAATTTTCACAGTGCGCAAAGATTCCTCCTCCAGCAGCTACCACAACTCAGCAGAAAATGCTTTTCCTTTTCTTATAATTTTTTGGTCAAAAGTTGATGATTTTTCTAAGTTCCAATTTCTTCATCATCCTCATGTATTTGCTCATCGTCGTCTGGTAGCAGTACGATATATTGAGCAAGATTGAGGGGGTTTGAATCCTATGCTCCTATGCTTGTGTTGAAGGACGATGATCTTCCGTAAGTAAAAAGGGTCCGGCAAGCGACGACGACCAAAGGTATGAGAATATCCTTATGCGGAATTCTAAACGCCTTCTATCCACGTCTACCACCTGTTGGACCGGCATCCTCCCTTTCCGCCGCATCAACTAAACAAGATAATAGCCCCTCCCAAAGGTTCCCGGTTCAGCCCGAGCACCTGCTGTTTTTCTATCCAATCTCTGCGGGGAAATGTAGACTGCTCGATTCCCCCAAAACGCTTCTTTATTCTCCACCATATTCATCCGGACCTATTCCGTATCTTTCCTCGAGGACCTCAAGATTCCCCCTACATCTAAATGTCCCAATCCAGGGCAAGCCTTCACGAGCTTACCAACTCCAACTGCGGTCAAATAATTATATGACAGATCAATCTGAAAAGCCAGCCGAAGGTCCCCGGATCGAACCTCCCCTCCTACTTCTTTCACCGCACTAAACATCTTGCCAGAGCTCTTCTCTACTTCCCGCGAGAGCCAATCGCAAAGTCCATCCGTGATGTTATTCCCCGGAGACTCCAGCGAGCTCAGCCGGGCCTTTCCGTGCGTCACCAACACTTCCAAAATTCCAATAATCCTACAAAAATGCTCCTGCCCGGAATCGAGCCGGAGACCTCCCTGATTACTCTTCGTCATTCAAGTTGCATCTCGGCAATTTTATATGAACATGTACGCACATACCTTTCCTCGATTCCAAAAATCGCTTTAACTCCTCGCAGGCTTTTTCCGGATTTATTTTCCCTAAAACAACCTCACCAGGGATCGAACCCGCGACCTCTACTACCGTTCGTTTTGGCACTCGTCAACGTCGCTTCGCTTCCCTCAACAACAATATACTCACAGTCAGTCGAGGGCTTACCTGAAATTTAACGACAAACAAAAACTAAATTTTGATAAAAAAATCGTAAATTTCACGAGCAAAAGTCTTTCTCACAAAAAAAAGAAAAAATATTTTTTCGCCGAATAATTTTCAACGCGTAAATAAACTTTCTGTCAATGATTCTATTATCGATAAGTTACTATCAATAAATTGGACCTAATTCGTATCTTGCCCTCGGAACCTCAAGATTCTCTTCGTACTACCAATAAGCTTATCCTGTAGCAGCGCCTGGAGGGATGCGACCGCCTGGTCTCGTGCTTCGTCGCTGCCGTAAACTGACGACAAAAAAGTGACCTCTTCCGGGCCTATTCCGTATCTTACGCGCTGCAACCTAGGATACCACACTACGATTCAACGAGTTTGATAAGAGATATTATTCCGGAAAATTCCAAGATTTCCCATAGTACTGGAAATCGGCCGCGCGGCTGCTGCTTTCGGTTCTCCGAAGGTCTTACTGCGTTCCTGACCTAATCCGTATCTTCCACGGGACAACCTAAGATACTCACCTTGAACTTCCGGGGATTGCGCGTAGGCATATTTTGGCAATAGGCCGATTTCGGCCTCGAAATGAATC